AACATGATGAAGAAGTAGACGCGTTACGTTGGGGTATATATGAAAGAAATTGGAAAAAACGTTCATTGTAAGGTGAACCACGCGATTAAGCTAAACAACCGTTTATATGAATAACGCTTTTTGAGTCGAGAAAGGTGTTAAGGAAAAGTAAACTACTATCTTTTTTGATCGGTTTTCCATTAGAGTATCATATGCAGGCCTCGTTTTAACACATTGCAATTCTACAATGCTAAGACTTACGATTTGAGGTAGTTTTATTAATCTTGTGATAGGGTGTATTGCACGAAAAAAGCGGAAAATGTAAGTGCGAGACCAAATGGAAAGCCTTTCGAATGTTGGTTGTTGCAAAGTTAGATTGGATTTTGGACAAAATGCATGGGATAATCTTGTCATGGGGCAATGTGGTCCGTGCCATCAAAGTTCTGAATTTTTCAATTCGCAAAATGACATGCCTCGAGTGTCAAGATCAGCTGGGTTATCGGATGAATCAATCTGCGTCCAGTTTTTATTGCCCACCTTCTCTACGATTGTTGAGATTGTATTTGCTGCGCGTACAATCCAATGGCAAGAAGGTTTCTGAATCCACGCTGGAACGATAGAGGAATCTACAGTTAACATCGAAAGTCACTGTGCGCAATTCAAAATCTTCAAAGCCAGCTGTGAGATCTTTGGAAGAATGAATGGGGATATGGCTGTACATTTTTTCAATATCTGCGTTGTATACATAACGAAGAATACGCCATCTTAATATCAAAGCTGCTCGTAAGCTAAATATAATTAGTTTATCCATTATATCCAGTATTTCCTTCCAACTTAGCGTAAATGCCACCCCCTAATAAGAGGTTGATTTGAACGTTATTTCCCATATAGGTGCCAGCTATATGCAAAATTGACAACAGCGGTGTTTTAAGGGCAGCAAAAGATACATGCGATAAATCTCCGCTCATTCTTTAGTTACAAACACATTGGTCTGAACTTGAAATTGGTCACCTTTGTGCGAACTTGTTTTAATGATGCACATTTGGCTTGGGCTTGCTGATAGTATGCCATTGGGACCAGTAATGTGGGATTTCACTGTTCTCGTTGGAAGGGCTAGTCTTTTTTGAAGCCAGCTCGAGATGAAACTGACTTCAGAGCGAGAATTAGTAAGAGTCCTAATGGGATATTTTGTGTCATCAATGCAAATATCGACGTATACGTTGCCTGCGAGTATTCAATATTCGTTGGATCTTAAATTATTAAACGTTTGGCGGGCAATTGAGGACCGAGCGGCTTCAGAAGTTGGTGTCTGTATATCACCACTTCGTTGAGTGAGATTTGGAGCATTGTTAAAGGGTTGATCCTGCTCTTTTTCTTAACAAAATTTGTACGTTCATAATTCACTTATTCTCCAACCTCTACTAAGTTTTGCCAGGTTAAGGCAAAACCTTCGTTTGTTAATGGTCTTGTTTCGCTAGAAGTTTTTTGCAGGAAATGGTAAAATTTCTGAACGGGATTTAAGTGTGTTTTTGAGTGTTATTTACATATAAAACCGTGAACAATTCGCGACTTGCCGTCTAAGAAGGATATGCTTCTTTAAATACCTCTTTATCGCAGGGGGGTGCAGGCATATTGGATAATGCTGGACTCTTAACTTCCTCATGGGGTGTAGTGCAATTTTAAAATTTATCAACGTCTTCACTTATGCAAGAAGAGCGTTGGAGATAAGCTTGATAAATTAAGTATTGAAACCAAAGCATCAGCCTTCGTTTCATCGAAAACTGCTAACAGAGTGTTAGATGATGTCATTAAAGACTCGAAAAGAGACTTTGTGTCTTCTTTCTGCAGAAGTAACAATTGAGCAGAATATTCGGACTGATCTATGCTGACGAAGTAAATTACAGAATACGGGGTTTTACGTTTAAAGCCTTTCACTTCTGTCGTTTGTTTTTTGGATATTTTGGTTGATGCACTTTTTTACTGACTAATAAAAATATGAATAAAAATATAAAATATGAAGGGGCTCGAACCAGGAAATGTTATAGAATAAAATTGGTATCCAGCAGGTTATTTGAAGATTTTTATTTAAGTAAGCAATCTTTAACCACAATTTACTACATATCGTATAAGAATTAAATAGCCAAATATATCTCAGAACGCGGCGGATAATACGCTCGTTTCAATAGTAGAAAGATTTCAATAATGCAATCATGTAACAAGCCCATTTTTAGGTAAACAGACGATAATATGACAAATGTTAATATGAGAAATGCATGTGAAAGCAAAATGTATATTTTTTCTATCCCATAAGAATTTTTTTATGTTCCGATTACTGCAATGCACATATTTTCGATTCCGTATAAAAAGCGTTTTCCGTTTATCACAACAATTATTCCACAGAAAAACAGTTATTAAGTTGTAATGAACAAAGTTTTCTACATAAGGGTTTTGAAATTAATGAATTAATATAAACATTTTTTCAAAAATATTATTAAAGGTTCAAGTTGGATTAATTTGTGCATCAATTAAATACTATTAAAATTCCTTATGTAAAATTAGGATTTCTTTCTTCTCACAATAAAACTTTTCCTTATTTGATTTGAATTTGATATAAGCACTTTTCCAATTCTTATTTTATACTTTTTCTGAAATCAACCGAAGAATTTTTTGATTATTTTAAATGTCCGACTCGTTCAAGGAAAAAAATGCGACTCAGTCTGTTAAGCTAACATACAAGATTTCATACCCTCTATCTATCACTCTCAGTATTTTTGAGAGAGGATCTTTAAATTCACTGACTTTGGCGTCTCACCTGAATGGTTGGTTATCTTTAGTTTACATGGAACACAGACTGAAGAAGAATTGTATTATTTATCAAATAAAAATATTTTATTTAGACTACTTTCGATAATATTTCGATGCTATAACCAACAAGTGCCATAAAAGTAAAAAAAATTTGGCAATTTTTCTTTGACAATTACAGGTGCAGATAATATAGAAGCATCACTAGGATCATTCCTACGAGCAACTGTAGGGTTGAGGCACTATTTTTTATATATTTTTATAAATGTTTTCCAAGAAACATTGTACAAACGATTGCATCTAGTTAACTGAGTAGGATTGACTGGTCAAATGGATCTCACCATTGGATTGAGGGGCAATACGTATTTTTGCTTTGCACATGCTTTCTTAACCACTTTTGAAGGTACCCACTATATTGTTCGTCCATTTTGTTTATGTGAATTCTGAACATACAAGGGAATCAACCGTAGCAAAAACTTCACCTATAAATAATTTTTATTTTAATTTTAAACTTCAAATTAATCTCGTATACTCCATTATTTTGTAGTTAGAGAAAGTAAATAGCCACGTGAAAGGTCTCGCAAACTTGGTAGTAAAATTAAAGATATAATATATATATATATTTATAATATTAGTTTGGGGAAAAAGAAATCCATTATTTTTATATTAACTTCAGGACTTTATTTAACATGCTTCGGACTGTCCGATTTGGGTCAAATATGCACCGTTTTGTTGTATGATTTGTTGCCATTTTAAAGGCAACTTCAAAATGCCTCTCTCATAGAAGTCCTGGTCTTCATTTTGCAAAAAACTCTAGTAGTCGATTTTCACAATCCTCCCTAGATTCCAATTTTTTATCATTAAAGAAATTTTGCAATGCAAGAAAAAGATGGTAATCGCTTGGTGCCAAGTCCAGACTGTATGGCGGATGCTTTAAAACTTCCCAACCAAGCTCCCGAAGTTTCTAGCGAGTCACTGTCGATGTGTGAGGTCTTGCGTTGTCCTGGTGGAACACGACACCTCTCCTGTTGGCCAATTCTGGCCGTTTCTGGTCAATCGCTATCTTCAAACGGTCCAGTTGTTGACAGTAGATATCAGAATTTAGCGTTTGGCCATATGGAAGCAACTCATAATAAATAATCCCCTTCCAGTCCCACCAAATGCATAGCAAAACCTTCCTGGTCGTTCGAGGTGCTTCACCGCTCTTTGACCACGATCGTTTTCGCACAGGGTTATCATATGTGATCCATTTCTCATCTCCAGTCACCATCCGTTTAAGAAATGGGTCTATCCCATTCCGTTTGGCCAAGGCTTCGCAGATGGAAATTCGATCCATCATGTTTTTTTCTGTTAATTGGTGTGGCACCCAAACATCGAGCTTCTTTTTGAATCCAGCTTTGTGTAAATGGTTTAAAACTGTTTTATGGTCGATTTTTAGCTCTTGGGCGATGTTACGACTGCTAATATGCCGGTCAACTTCGATCATTTGTCCGATTTTATCGACATTTTCGACGACCGGCCTACCTGTGCGAGGCGCATCTTTACCATCAAAAATTCCTGAACGGAATCTACGAAACCAAAATTGCACATAATTGGCTGTCATAGTATCGGAACCATAAACACCATTAACAATTTTAGCCGCCTGGCTTGCATTTTGGCCTTTGTCAAAGAAAAACTGTAAAATGTACCGAATTTTCTCTTTGTGCACTTCCATTTTTAACACGCTGTAACTCACAACTGAATGCACCAAACAGAAAACAGCAAAAGAATTTTTTTTTGCTGCGAAATGTCACCTTTCCAACGAGCATAAATATGGTCGATACTTTACGAGAAATCTATCAGTGCAGCCATCTACCGAAAAAATAATGGATTTCTTTTCCCCCAACCTAGACGGTGTCTATAATCTCAAATAAGTTTATGAAACTAACGCTATTTTAAGTTATTCGGATTTTCTAATGTTTTTTGTTGTTTGTGTGACTGCGATGAGTGAGATCACAGAATCTAACAATGGATTTGTATGTAATCATATGAAGAAAGAAATATTTACATGACACTTAATAAATACTCTTCGGCAAAAAACAATTGTTTCGGAAATTTGTAGTATTTAATCGTCAATTACAAAGCCACGCATCTGTACAGTATACGAGCTTATACAATAATAATAATTATATATTATATTTATCTATGTATTGCTACGCGTGACTTTTTTCTTTTTGCAGCAACTGCGGTTTCTATGGGAACAACATTTGAAACAATGCTTCCACCTCTCCAGCTTTCCAAAACAAAATACATAACAAATTTCTTCGAAACCCTAAAAACAACATTGAGAAATACAAGAAAACTTCCAAATAGCACACACCGTAACAATCAATGTAATAACAATACACCTGCCAAAATACAGCAATGTACAAACAAAGTACAATATCGCCATAAACAAAAAAAATGTTCAGTTGACGCTATGTTAGTGAAATTGGCTGTAGTAGGAATAATGGTATTCTCTGAAGTTGAAGGACAGACAAGAACGCCATGGTTTCATCCAAGAGAAGATGTAGGCAATTATCGGTGGCCCAATCCAGGAGATTCTGATTACAGGTATGCAAGCTCAATGAATAGTGCAATAACGCGTAACAATACTTTATTTTTTGCAGAACTTACATTTTCAATGGTCGTCGTTATGGTCATTATCCATCCTCCGATTATAGTTTAAAAGTTTCAGATAGAAATGAAGCCGGTCTATACCCGGAAGCAACACCACACAAAGTATTATATTTCGTTTCAAGCAAATAAGTATTTAAATATTCGAATTTTGTGTTAGGATAATTGAAAAAGGTAGATGTGTTTCGAAGCAAATCCAATTCGATAACCATTAATGTTTGATTAACCCTTCTGAGTGGTCAAAGAATCTCGACTAGCAGCCCAATGGCCGTGGGTTCGCATTTCAAGTGCGGCAGAGTTTTTCATAAAGCCGACAGCCTTAGATAGTAGTGCTTTAAGACTTTTTAGTCTTAGAGACCGTTTCTCTGACTAAATTAATAATAATCTTTGGTGAACTTTATACGTTTTTAAAAGACTAATGTGGACTACCCAGTCAAAATTTCAACACACTTTGCTATAACTTAATGGTCATGCTTCTATGACATTTACAAAATAAATAATTTTTGGATTGTTCTTGAAGAAGAGAATTACTAGCCAGCTTATTGGCACTAAAATGGTTTATCAATGTAATCAATGTAATCAATGGATATCGAACATTCCATTATAATATCCATAACATTGAAACTATTTTTTTCCAGAATAGCCCAAATTCTGGACAAGTTTCTTTCCCTGGTATTTTGGCAGGATGGCGCGAGGATTTACAAGGCAAAGAACGGCGGGATTCTTCAACATTAGAACGCGATGTGTTCGTAACTACTAATTATGGTCAGGTTCAAGGCTTCAAAGTGTATATGTACGACAATCCTGATCCAAAGTCATTTTATCGCCCATATCATTCAACACTAGATCGAGTCATGGGTGAATGCACAGTATTTCTAGGTATTCCATATGCTATGCCACCCACTTTTGAGGGACGATTTAAACCGCCTCGAGTACATAGAGGTTGGCAATTGATGCAAGCTGTAGATTTTGGTCCAGCCTGTCCTCAACCTCTCCATTTTATCGGCACTTCAAAAGGTATTAATGACATGGACGAGGATTGTCTATACTTAAACATTTTCTCGCCTCAGGTAATGTCCGTTTTCTGTTCTATGTGTAGAACACAAATGAATTGCTTAATTCTTCTAGACTGGAGCTGGTGTGGCTCAAAAATATCCGGTTATGGTTTACATTCATGGCGGGGAGTTCATGCATGGCGCTTCTAACCTCTTCCAGGGTCATATTTTGGCTTCTTTCTACGGTGTAGTAGTAGTTACTTTGAATTATCGTTTGGGCGCTTTGGGCTTTTTGTCGACAGCTGATGAAAACTCACCTGGTAATTACGGAATTTTAGATCAGGCTATGGCTCTTAGATGGATTTATGACAATATCGAATTCTTTAATGGCGACCGCGAATCTATAACGCTATTTGGGCCTGGAGCAGGTGCTGCATCAGCTGGCTTACTAATGGTGGCGCCGTCAACACGTAACATAGTTAAACGTGTCATAGCACAATCGGGTTCAGCTTTAGCAGACTGGGCTTTGATTCACGACAAATATCGTGCTCAAAATACAAGTCGTGTGTTTGGGCGCTTACTGGGCTGCTCGATTGAATCCAGTTGGAAGTTGGTAAATTGTCTACGTATTGGTCGCACTTCCCATGATTTGGGTAAAGCTGAATTTCCACCAGATGTCGGTACCTTTGCGTGGGGTCCTGTATTGGATAAGAATTTTACGGTACCTGGGGATGATTGGTATGATGGCTGGCGCGAAAAGGATTGGCACTTCTTAACAGAAACACCACTTGATCTGGTACAACAGGGAAAATTTAATCAAGAATTGCATTACATGGCCGGGGTGACTACGCAAGAAGCAGCTTTCTTTATTTCGCAAAACAAAAGCTTAGCTCCTTATTATCAAATTGATATGGATTTTTTTGACCAAAAGATCCGCGAGCATGTATTTCACTATAATTATACTTTGAACCCGCTGGGAGTATACGAGGCTATTAAATATATGTATACCTATTGGCCTGACCCCAATAACACGACTATATTACGCGATCAATACATTAATATGCTGTCAGATTTATATTACCGAGCTCCGGTCGATCAAATGATTAAATTGCTATTAGAGCGTAAGGTTCCAGTTTACTCTTACGTACTGAATACGACAGTGGAGGCATTAAACTTGCCAGATTGGCGTAAATATCCGCATGAAATAGAACATTATTTTTTAACCGGAGCACCTTTTATGGACGTGGAATTTTTTCCAAAAAAGGACCACGTACGCAGGAACATGTGGACGGACAACGACCGCAATATGAGCCACTTTTTTTTGCAAATATTTTCGAATTTTGCTAGATACGGGTAAGCTTTTTTACGTTGAAAATCAATATGCGACTAACTACAACGTTTTCTAGAAACCCCACGCCCCAACAAGTATTAGGCTTGCACTTTGAACAAGCCTATCAAGGCAACTTACGTTATCTGAACATTAACACCACATTTAATTCGACGATTATGTTGAATTACCGTCAAACTGAAAGTGCATTTTGGACAGAATATTTACCTACAGTGGTTGGGGTGTTGGTCCCTACTTATCCTCCTACAACCGAATTTTGGTGGGAGCCCAAAGAACCTCTACAAATAGCATTCTGGAGTATGTCAGTCATTTGTTTCTTTTTAATAGTATTGGTTGTTATTTGTTGTATTATGTGGAGGAATGCCAAAAGGTAAAGGTTTGATTTGATAAATTCATTCTTCTCATATGCATTTAACATTTTTTCTCCAGGCAATCCGATCGCTATTATGATGACGACGTTTTCTTTAATGCTGAGGGTACTGAGTACGATGAAGAACCTAGGGCCGCCGGTGTTGATAATACTCACATGATCACCAGTCAACATGGTATAAAACAACGTAACAACGTTTATCAATACAGCGATTCGGCATCAGCAAAAACTTTAACGAGCAAAGCTCTCACTGAAACTTCATCAATACGTTCCCCCAGCTCGTTGACGATGCCGCAAAAGTCAGGTAGTCAGTTATCCCTTAAATCAACCGTACCACTAAAGGAATCCAATGGTGGTGTGTCCACGTATACTACTACGAGGCTACCTAATAGTGAGATTAATACCCCAACAGAAAGTATTACTAATGACGATTTGGCAACTGTGGTACAACCCCACGTTATTTATTCAATTAAAACTACAGAAGAGAAGAGTTTGTTGCAAAATCCTTGCGAATCGCTCGCTTTGTCTCGAACACCTCCAAAATCTGAAGTAAGTTACCAGTCAGCAAAACCGCTTACTTTAAGTCGAATAACCGCTCCAATGGCTAGCAACACAAAATCAAATTTACCAAGTGCGCCACAGCAAACACAGCCACTGGTGCGAACGCAAGTTATTGAAGGAGTCCCACAAACATCAGTTTAGAATACCTTCTATGCACTCTTTTCGCTCCAAAATGGGCAACGGCATGAGCAAGTGCACTGGTAATTGTGTACATATTGTAAATACAGCTTTAAGATAACAAGTAACAATATTTCATAGAAGAAGTAGAAAACTTATTTTAAAGTTTATAATTGTAAATTTGTTAGTTACCCAATCGATCAATTTTTACATTGGTCATCTTTACCAAGTCTTAGCCTAATTTCCATGTCGATAATTTATAATCTACCGCCTATTGTTGGCAAATTATGTTTGTTTTCAAATCTCGCTAAAAATCTGAAAATATATATAGTACGTTCCAGTGTTCGATGCTGTCCGAGAAATTTGTGAATTTTCTGTTTACGTGTAACGTACTTAGAACTTAGAATATTATAGGTGAAAGAAATTCCTACAACGTGCATTGCTTTAGTTTTTGTGGTAATAACTAATCTGTACAAAAAGATAATAGAGTTGATATGTACCATATAATCAATTGGTATCAGTTGTATTTAAAATGTTACATTTATTGAACGAACGAACTACATATTTGGGTTATCTAGGAAGTACACATATTTAAGATTGCATGTGAAAATTTCAGATTAAAACAAATACTAAGTCCAGTTTGTTATATGTGCATACATTTGTATTCAGATATGAAAGCTTATTTTAATTTTATAAATTTACCAATAAACATCAAGCCGCGAATACACATCCATATCATAACATTCCTAGTTTTATTTTTTCCTCTTAGTATTATTATTATTGTTACTGCTTAATTTATATATGTATATACGTCTGCGAAAAATCGAAGTTAAAACCGTCCAATTATATTGACATTGTTTAATTTATGTTCGATCATGTTTCTTTAGTTATTGTACATAAAAATGAGCATAAATTTCAATAATCAAAGATTTAATTAACGCTTTTTACTGAACGATAGATATTGTATGCTAAGGTTATATTTTTTATAAATTGTAAAGAATACATTTAAATAAATATATTTTTTAATAATCGCTCAACGTTTGAATTTGCCTCTGCTGTTGTATAGGCAGCGGAAACACATTACCTATTTACTGGAATTTTAATATACATGTCATATATATCTCATTTTTATTTGCAAATAGGGATTCATCCGAGATTTCCTCCTAGGTTAACGTTACTGAAAATCCAAGAAAGCGGGCGTTTTCAATATCAATAGGAGTTTTCAAATGATACTTCTCAAATTAAAGAGTATAGAAATTTGTAATGGGTATAAAAATATCTCATTTGGAACAAAATTTAGAAAGGCATAGTTAATATATATTCTTACAAATTTCGCTTTTCTAAGATAGGACTCTTACCACTAGATCGTGGATGTTGTTTTCAAGAGAAATACACTTCAAAGTTCTTTTATTTACAATTATAGTAGGATTATTCACAATTTATTTTTGGCAATACTTTCTACTGCTCAACTCAAACAATATTTTTCTACTACCTCTGCCTTTCACAAATATTTTATTTATACACATTTTTACCATCATATTACTAGTACTTAGTTTTATAGTTTTATTTTTAATTTATTTATGTATTTAATTTTTCCCTCTTTAAGGGTTTTATTACGGCGGTTTACTTTTCGGGCCTTTCGATTTGCTGCACTGATCGCAGTTGTGAATCCATGCAGCTACGGAATCCTTGATGCCTAGCCAATAGAAATTTTCCTTGATCTTCTCCGCGGTTGTTGTGATGCCAAGATGCCCTCCGCTTGGTCCATTGTGGTATTCCCTTATAATTTCACGAGTTCTCGCTTGTTGGACCACCTGAGTTCAGTACGCCTACGTAATTGGACTTTCTCTTGAAATCTCTTCCCTGGTGGGACGCTCCTCCTTTTCTAGGGCTTTTAAGATTGTGTTTAAATCTTCGTCGGCCATTTGGATACTGCGCACGTCTTCCTTCGAAAAGCTTCCGTTGGGCTCCACAATAGTCCGGCAGATGGCGACACCTCCTTGATTCTCGTTCTTTATGCAGTGTTTGCCATGCGATTTGCCGCTCCGATGGGAAATCGAGAATTGGTAACCTTGCAGTTTTTCGATCCACCTGGCCAATTGTCTTTCTGGTTCTTTAAAGTTGAGTAACCATCGTAGAACAGTATGATCTGTCCTTAGGTGGAATTGTTGCCCATACAAACATTTGCGGAAGTGCTTGACAGATTGCGTTATTGCCAGCAGTTCTCGTCGCGTAACGCAATAACTCCTCTCGGGTTTGGATAGGCGCTTGCTGTAATATGCTGTGACCTTTTCGTTACCATCAATTTGCTGGGAGAGCGCACTGCCCAAGTCTTTTGCGCTTGCATCGGCGTCCAGTATAAATTTTTCTCTTGGTACCGGATGAGCTAAAATGGGTGGTGCGCATAACAGCTCTTTCAACTGCGTGAACACGTGCTCTCCACACATGAAGTACCGATTTTTCTTCGTAAGGTCATGCAATCCACTAGCAACCGTGGCAAACCTGGGGACGAATCTGCGGTAGTATGTACATAGTCCTAGGAAACTTCGTGCAAATGGTTTGGTGGAGGCTATTCTTTTACTCCTCTGATTTTTTCTTCATCCGTGTGAACTCCAGTCGTGGAGACCTCGTGCCCAAGATACGTAACTTCTTTCACAAAGAACATACATCCTTCGGTACTCAATTTTAAATCTGCGGCCTATAATCGGTGAAAAACATTTGCCAAATTTTTTAGGTGTTCCTTGAAATCTTCATCCATGATAATAATGTCATCCAAATACACCAGGCATGTCTTCCAGTGCAGCCCTTTTAGCACGCAGTCCATAAGGCGCTCAACTGTGGCAGGCGCATTGCATAATCCGAACGGCATTACGGTAAACTGATATAAACCGTCGCCAGCGGAAAACGCGGTCTTTTCCTTGTCATGCGCAGCAACCTCCACCTGCCAGTACCCACACTTCAAATCTTAGGTTGAGAACCATTGCGAACCTGACAATGTGTCTAAGGTGTAACCGATTCTAGGCAAAGGGTAGCTATCCTTCTTGGTCACTTCGTTCAACTTCCTATAATCCACACAAGATCTGATAGACCCATCTTTTTTTTTCTTGGTTCGCTCTTGCATATTTTTGATCAAGTCCGTCACTTCTCCTCTTTTTGCGCGTGGAATTCTTCTAGGCCGTTGCCGAATCGGATCAGCTCATAGTGTGTTGATTATATGTTTCGCAATATTATTACGACCACCCGAATTTGTAACGCCGTCAAAGACGGATCAATTTTCCAGCAAACACTTTTTGGCATATTTCTTCTGCTGCTCATCTAGGGATATCTTTCGGCATGTTTTTGGTATTTCGGCTTGATGATTTACCACATATTCGGCTTTTTGGCATTGCGCTATAATGTCCGCTTTGTGAATTTTTGTTGTAACGCTGGTTGGGTTTAATACCCGTACTGGTATTAGATTGTTGACCGGTGAGACAACCGTTGATGTTGTCGTTCGTACATTCTTTATTCGGGACGACAACCCATATCTTCCTTAGCCTTAACTCTTAGGTAGTTATGGCCTACACTATTTCTTCGGAGTTTGGAGGGATCTTCTGTTTTCTTTGTTCTACAACTTGTAACATTTCGGCTTGTCTGTCATATCCCACAGTCAAGTGCGAAGCCGTGCCTTGCCACAAAATCCATCCGCAATATTAGCTCGTCCATTATATCTACTACCAGAAATTCATGCGGCTCGAATTTTTCTTTGACTATTGTACTGTTGATAATTGAATGAGAAGTACCATTGTCCAGCGTGATGATGTAGTTTTAGCCCTGGATCTTTCCATCGATCGTTAGGCTGCTATTACTTCTCTTTGCTTGAGTAAGAACGACCCTACTACTACTGCTACTAAATTTTTGTGTAAGCCGTTGCCCCGCTGTGCTGACTCTTTTTAGTTTAACGCCTGTTCGCTGGATATCTTGCTGGTACCTTCATTAATATTGCGTGTAGATGTTGCGGAGTGTGTTCTTTTGTGTTTTGATCGAAGACATAACACTTGCGTGTTTTTGAAGCTGGTACTTGTTTATTTTCGTGCAGGACTTGTTAAAGCGCCGCGCAGACCACATCTAAATTATCGTTCTCGCTGGTTACTTCCTCCCACTTCGTCTCACCTTCAAGCTTGACGTCCACAGCACACTAGCTGCTTTTTGTGTAAGCACGAAGCCAAACGTTTCCGTAAACATCGTTTTAGGTGATGTCCATAGAGTTTTTTTAAGTTCCGCGTCACGAAGTCCTTTAACAAAGACGTCGATTTTTAATCGTTTCAATTTCTTATAATAAGTTCCCTTTTATGTGTTTTACATTTCACTGCATTTCTCTATTAAGGATTAAAAGAAAGAAAAAAAACTTTCTATTTACTGTTTAAGAAACGCACTCTCTATCTAGTAAACGAAACTTTGGAACTGATTTCACATGTTTTTCTCTCTGAGAATTACAAATAAAATTTTTTAAAAATTCGCAAAGTCAACTTACAAGTGCGAAATAATCGAAATTTTCGACACATTTCATATAAATTACTTAGTTCTACTCAATTTTTAACTGTACAGTATTGCCAATGCCTTTGAACGCTTTTTCCATGCCTTCCTCCCTGCATGTGCATATATTACTTAAACATCCTTTAATATATCCAACATAAAGGTTATATATTAAACTAACTCGAAAGCTTGTAACGTATAGAAAAACGCATCGACTTTTTCAGCAAGAATAGCTAGACTTAGCCATTTCAGTGTTTTGTTATAAACGTGTTACAATGTCAAAGGTTTATTTTGGATAAGAAACACTCGAAAATTATTATTTTTAAAATGATGCATTTAGTGTGAAATAAGAGAATTGATACATTTCATCTTTTATCCTTCATTAAGTTGCCATATTGAATTTATATATAAAGTCGTGTTCGTGGTCATTTATTATTAAAATGTGAAATTTACAGAATAGTAATTTAAAAAGATCGCCTTTTTATCAATTTTTCGATATATAGGCTTCTTTGTTTTGTGATCCCGAAAGTAAATGTACATATTATTATTATTAATTTATCTCGAGAATTAAAATCTAAGACACACGCCTTAAAGAACTAGCATCTAAAGCTATCGGCTATCTACCGCACTTGAGATTCGAGCCCATTGAGTTGCTAATCGAGTTTGTTTGCCTTCGGCCACTTAAGCGAATAAATGACTTCTGATTGAGATTTGGATCGAATTTTTTTTCAATACACGCAACTCTTTTTTTGCACAGCAGACATTACCCTTTAAATTTGTGCAAAACTTATTATAAAAGAATTCATGCGGCATTTGGAAAATTTAGAGATATGCTTTAAAAAGCTCCTATAAGATAAAAAATTCAATGAAGAACAAAATTATTTTTTAACAATTTCACGGTGATTTTCCTCCTTAAAGACACAAAAGTCAAAAGAGCCACATTTGCCGTTTAGTTAACAAAGTAAGAATCATACTTTATTGAAAAATTCTCTTACTCCAAGCCACATAACTGGCTTTATTTTTTTTTTGCTTTGCTTTCTTTTTTTTTGGTAGTCATCATTTACAATCGTAGGCGTATAATACATTGAAAAGAACGATAGCTTGAAGTATCGTTATAAGATTATAAATACAATTAAGGCCAAAAAGTGCACATACATCTGAGGAATTCTCTTTATTATAAAGAAAAATAAAGTAAAAAATCATATAACGTTTGAGCAAAGAAAAATTTTCTTCATTAATAACAAGAAGTCAAAATCTATTCATAAAACTAGTAGCGAATATGTACACCTCAATTGTCACAACTAAGCCTAATCCAGATGATTGCATTTTTATACAATATTTCAGTTGTAGACCAGGCCCGTAGATCAAATTTTTATTATACCGATCGATCCGGAATCACTTTCGGAATCGATCTAAATTTATTTGCCCGTGCGTCTTGTTTTCTTCTGATCAACCTACG